AACAATCACACACACTCACTCCTATGGGAGTCACCAGTCAACCTGAGCTGCATGTCTTTGGACTGTGGGAGGAAGCAGGAGTTCCTTGAGAGAACCCACACAGACACAGGGAGAACATGCAGACTCCACACAGAAAGGCCCTGGTCGGCTTAGGTTCGAACCCGGAACCTTCTTTGGAAAAAATAAAATAAAATTTAAAAAAATCTTGTTTTAATGTTAAAGGGATGTAGTTTGAACTTGCTTTTTACAAGGAAAACAGGTTTTAATGAATAAATAAAAAACAAGTTTTACTTGGCAAATAATGCATATTGGAAGGTGCCTGCTGATGATTTATATTTCAAAACAATCAACAGGTACAGTTAGTCTGAAGACTTCCAGTGTTTTTATTTGTGAACTAATTATCTATCTATCTTCTATTTATTAATGTTAGTGTTGTTGTTCTTGTTCAGGATGGCCAATGGGCATTACAATGATAACAGCAGCATACAAAATGACCAGTTAACCAGTGTGTGCATTATTCATTGTTCTAAATGTTAGCCATCCTAACTGAGAATAGTGTGTTGGAGAAAAGAGGAAAGGAAAACAGGTGTTCCATTCTTGTAAAATTGGGGTGAGCCAGTCTGTATCAGCCTGACTCTAAAGGGTATTTAAAGGGCATCTGCATTAGTCTGATTGAAGGCAGCAGACAAAAGGACACTCTACAATAAAAAGGCAGCAATTAGTACAAGTTATTGCTCCCCATTCCTTCCAGAAGACCTCATCACACATATCCATATCTGCACATAGTCAGTTTAGCACCATAAAGCTGGAATGTGCATAAAGCATTTAGCTTCTTGCTGTTGTCTTTCTGTTTTATATTTGTGCTCTAACTTTTATCTGTAACAGCATAGTAGTAGCACACACGGTTCAATGACTAATCTTGTAATATCTCTTGTAGACAATGACATGAAATGAACTTTAAAACAATATTTATTAGCATATTAAAGTAAATGAGCCTTCTGTGTTCAACATGGTCATGGTCTAACTATTAACACATCTAGAGCTCTGGTGTTGTCCTATTGATTCACACTAAAACACATCAATGTCCACATTTTGCACTAATTGACTTGATTCTTTTTGAAGATGAAAATGGACAGCATAGCAACAGTCTTGGAAATAGCAACATGACAAAAACATGTGTTATGGCCAATGGCCACTAGGTACCGGTTTTGGATCCCAGAAAGCAGGACTCAGACAACTCACTAAATGTTAACCATTATTATTTGCACCAGGTTATGACTCTCTTGTCATAACCTCATATCTCTTGATGTCAAGCACATCTATGGCAGGTGGACACTAGGCAAACCCACGACCCCTTCTGGCGAGGTGTAGGCAGGGAAGAAGTCTGAGTTGAGTGGGGGGACTGGACCTCAGCACTAGGGGCTGGCAGAGTCTGGGACACCGGGTGAGTTGGCGCAGGGCTGGAGACCACATCAACAGTGACCAAGAACCCAAGGACCATGTAGTCTCCAACCCAGCATTGGAGACCACATAGGCAGCAGTGAGGCACCACCAGGTGAGGTGAGTCAATGTGGAACTGGAGACCACACAGGCTGTGGTGAGGCACCACCATGCACATAGAGCAGACGTGGAGCTGGTGACCACAGAGGCTGTGACAAGGTGCCACCAGGTGAGTGAGGCGGGTGTGGAACTGGAGACCACATGGGCTGTGATAAGGTGCCACCAGGTGAGTGAAGCAGGCAAGGAGCTGGATACCACAGAGGCTGCAACCAGGCTCACCAGGTGAGTTGTGTAGACATGGAGCTGGAGGCCAACTCTGACAGAGATGAGGAACAAGCAGAGTGGCTAAATTATACCAGTGCGAGAGTCAACTCAGGTAGTGACAGGGGACAGAATGGCGAGTTCAGCTGTCACTGGTTAGAAGGCAACCCAGCGTGTATGGAAAACAAACAGGAATGTCTAGCTGAGGTAGGCCAGGTATTGGCTGGTAGACAATGAGGTGACAACAAACTGACTGGCAAGGATGACAGCCGAGTCCAGGCTATATACTAGCCTGTCAATTGAGGCGATAGGCATCAGTTGTGCCACTCCCTGCCAGCCACGCCTAGTAGCTTGACCAAGATTCCCCAAAGAGGGAGAGAGGAAGGGACAGGTATGTGACCTCACAACATGCTTATCTCACTGTCTGTTAGCTTTTTCCAGAGCTTTCAGCTGCATCTCAAGGTTGTCACAAGAAAACTGTTGAAAGCTCTGAATACAGCCAGAGAGTGGACCTTGTAAAGAACTTTTGTCAAATAGACAGTGCTGTCAAATAGTGTTTTATTTTGAGTAAAAACTGTAGGAAGCTCTGTCAAACCACCAGGTGACTCAGAAAGAGAAAGCAGAGCTTGGACCAGGCAGGGGAGGGGAACTGCTGACTCAAAATGGGGATATGTTCGGGCAGTAGAAGAAGCACTCTGAGGAACTCCTGAACCTGTCTGACATGTGCTCCAGGGAGAGACAGAGTTGAAAGACTCAGGGGAAGCCTCACCCTGATCTCAGTCAAAAAGCTCCTTGGTGGCAAGGTGCCAGGAGTAGATATGATTTGTCCTGAGCTGCTGAAGGCTCTGGACACAATTGGGCTTTTGAGGACTGGCAGATTGGGATGGTGGTTCCCAGTTTTAAAAATGGGGACCAGAGAGTGTGCTCCAGCTATTGGGGAATCACTACTCAGCCTCCCTGGGAAAGCCTATGCCAGGGTGCTTGAAGGGGGCTCAGACTGATTGTCAAACCTCAGATTCAGGAGGACCAATGCTGTGTTCTGTCCTGGTCATGAAACAGTGGTCCAAATCTTTACTCTTGCAAGATTACTGGAGGGACCTTGGGAGTTTGCCAATCCAGTCTACATGTACTTTGTACACTCGGAGAAGGCCTATGACAGGGTCCCTCGTGTGATCTTATCGGGGGTACTTTGGCATTATGGGGTATTGGTGTCGGTGGTATGAGCCATCCATTCTTTGTACAGCTGAAGTGAGAGTTGTGTACACATACTTGGCAAGAAGTCAAACACATTCCCAGTTAGTGTTGGCCTTCATCAGGGTTGTCCCTTGCCACTGATCCTGTTTGTGATTTTCATGGACAGGATCTCAAGATGGAGCCGGGGGGAGGAGAGTGCCCTGTTTGGAGACCTCAGAATGACATTGCTGCTATTTGCTGATAATGTGGTTTTGCTGGCTTCATCAGACCATGACCTCCAGCACGCACTGTGGTTGTTTGCAGCTGTGTATACAGTGGAGGAAATGAGAGTTAGCACTTCCAAGTCTGAGGCCACGATGCTCTGATGGAAAAATGTTGGATTGCTCCCTCTGGGTTTAGAGAAGGAGAAGAGAAGGAGTTTAATTTTCTCAGGGTCTTGTTCAAGAGTGAGGGTAAAATTGAGCAGTTGAGACTGACTGATAGGGGCAGCATCAGCAGTAATGCGGATGTTGTACCAGACCACTGTGGTGAAGAAGGAGCTGAACTGAAAGGCAAAGCTCTCGATTTACACACACGTTTCAACCCTCACCTGTGGTCATGAGCTGTGGGTAGTGACTGAAAGAATCTTCTACTTTCTACTTATGGCTGTTCCCATCAGGGGTTGCCACAGCGAATCATTTGTTGCCCCCCAACCGATGATTCGCATGTTAAACTTGGCACGTTTTATGCCTGATACCCTTCCAGATAATATCTAATTTTAGAGTTGATAATCATCCTGAGCGGCCAAAATAAGTTTCCTTCACAGGGTGGAGTTATCCTTAGAGCTAAGTGCGGAGCTCAGACATCCAGGAGGGGCTCAGAGTAGAAACACTTCACATTGAAAGGAGTCAGTTGAGATGGTTCAGGAATCTTATCTGGATGTCCTGGGCACATCCAACTGGTAGGACTACCTTGCTGAACCTGTTGCCACCATGACCCGATATCGCATAAGCGGAAGAAAATGGATGGGTGGATTACAGCAGCAAATAAGTATTACTCTGCCAATGTAAACAGTCTCCAGCAAATACACAATTTCCTCCTTTTTAAGTATTGTTTATTAAACATTATAGTCTCCAAATGTTTTAGGAAATGTAACTATATATTTGTGAGGTGTATTCAAAAATGTGCATTTTCAGTGGGAAACAATGGGCTTAGGACTGAGTACCATAGGCAGGATAAGGAAGTCAGAAAGCAGTGAAAGACAGAATAATGCATCTTTTGGTTTTTTTTTTTTAATGGGATTTGACTTATGCACTCAGGTTATATGACTTGTTAGGTTCCTTCAGTGGAAACCTAGCTTAAATTAAAAACTAAATGTAGATCAACTAAACTTCTTCCAGTGACAGCAACAGTTTGTAGTGTTTTGCAGCAGACACTAGAGTTAGACAAAAGCCTCAATTTGGAAAGCCATCTGCTTCATCACACCTTTCACATCTTCTCAGAATTGTTCTACAACCCCATCATAACATTATTTTTCAGGTATGTCTCTTTGTGTATGTGGTTGTTTTACATGATTTATTAAGAGTCAGTTCTCCAGTAAATGTTCGTGATGGAAGCAGACATAGCTGATGGCAGATTTGTGATGCAGCAACAAAACCTCTATATCTGCCCTTTATCTATGTGTTAAGTTTCATTTTTTCATCTAAATCACTGCAGGGTTCAGAGAGCCCTTTACAGATATCAGGGTGTCTAAATGGATTTTTTCAAACAGGTCACTGTATAAACTGCAGAATTTTGCTTTGCATCGAAGAATCTGCCAGCATGGCAGTGAGGTGGAGGTTAAAAAGTTTGTTTTGCCCAGCAGAATTTTTGAGCTCATGTTATTAATCAAGTGCATCAAATTAAAAACATGACCACAAAGGTTATCTTTGCTAATTAAGTCAGGGACAACAATGTAAAAACACACACACACACACCTCACCTTTGTTTTTATTCCTCATGGGGACTTTACACTGACTTACATTCACTCAAACATACACACACAGAGTATACACAAAAAATCTTACCAATGGTGACTCCTTGTTCATGGACCATATGGGCCAGATCCTTCATGATTTGATTGACATCCAGCATGTCTCTCTACGGAGAAAACACAAAGTGTATATTATTGTTACACCACTACTCAACTCAGTGGGGGCATTTCAGAAAACAGATTTAACAAAATATATCAGCTGATTTGACCAACTCTGCCATGAAAAACTAGGTTTTCGATTCCAAAATCAGATCATAGGTAGTTCAGACAAACTCTGAATATATTCAGTCTGAGTTAAGCGTGTGTGTGATGATTATAAAAAGCCATCATCAGTGGAGCTCTGATACTATGATTCACCAAGGCAATAGATAAATAAAGAGCGGAGCCACCATTATAATCCAGAGGACATATTAGGGTGTAATAATCAACATTTAGCTTCAAAATACATTGCAACAGCAGTGAAACTTTATTTATTGACCTCTGACTGAAGCCTCAGTCTGACCCAGTAATAATTATTTTGTTGATCTGCAGATGGAAAAGCATCAAAGTTAAAACAACAGTGCATTTTAGATGTCTATTATACTGTACATTTAAATGTTTTGCTAAGATGCATATAATAAACATACATAGTAAATTTAGACACTGTCATTGAAATGTTAAAACAAGTTAATTATGTGCAAATTCAAAAACAACTTTAAACTGCATTTATTCCAGTTTTATAATGTTCAAATATTTAAAGCTGCACTACAGTAATTCTCAGAAATATTCACAAAATCTACAAAACCATCAACTATGTTCCAAATGTATGAAATAGCAACAAAAGAAATGTTTATTCATAGATTAATGTCTTACATGGCTACGGTTTCACACAGAATTTGTTATTTACAGTGATCACAGTAATGTACAGTAGATGTTTCAGTGTGGTGGGATTGACTGACAACCTGACAGTTGTCTTCATGTCCGCAGTCACGGTGTTAGAAAGACAGACAGTGTATAGATTTTATTCTGAGGATGAATCCACACTGAAATAATCTACTGGAATTTAAATGTGAGAAGAGACTGCTGTCTGTAGTCAAAGTCAAGTCAAGTCAGAGGGTTTATTGTCATATGCACAGTATGGAAACGTGTTTCCCTGTACAATGAAATTCTTACTCTTAAGTAACACAAAATCTAAGGCACTTTAAAGCAGCAAATGCAGAGATATAATAACAATATACAAGAATATAATAAGAGAATGTATGCTACATGGGAGCTGTATGTGCAGTAGTCAACAGTCAGTGTACAATTATGCATATGCAAACTGAGAATGTAAACAGTGCAGGTCATCAGTACATGACGTATTTCCTGGTAATAAACTCCTGTCAGCTGTTTAGGAGTCTGATGGCAGAGGGAAAGAAAACGTTTTTCAGGCTTGAGGTCCTGCATTTCACACTTCTGAACCTCCGGCCGGAGGGTAGGGGTGTGAACAGTCCGTGCGTGGGTGGGTGGGATCTTTGAGGATGGAGGCAGCTTTCCTATACACCCTGCGGTGGTAAATGCTCTGCAGAGAGGGCAGTGGAGCCCTGGTGATCTTCTCCACAGTTTTTACCACTCTCTGCAGGCGCTTGTGGTCCATAGCAGTAGTGCTACCATACCAGACAGTGATGCAGCTGGTCAAGATGCTCTCGACGATCCAACTGTTGAAGTTGCAAAGGATCCTAGGCAACATGCCAAGCCTTCTCAGGAAGTACAGCCAGTGTTGGGCCTGCTTGACCAGCTGTGTGGTGTTATGTGTCCAGGTGAGGTCCTCACTGATGTGGACGCCCCGGTACTTGAAGCTGCTCACCCTCTCCACTTTGAGCCCCTGGATGAACAGTGGCTGATGAGTTCTCCTCTCCTTCCTCATGTCCACTACCATCTCCTTCGTCTTGTCCGTGTTGAGGCTGAGATTATTGTCCTTGCACCGTGACACCAGACCAGCCACCTCCCTCCTGTAGGCTGTTTTGTCCCTGCCAGTGATGCGTCCTATCACTGTTGAGTCGTCCATGAACTTAAGGATGATGTTGTCTTTGTGGGAGGCGACACAGTCATGGGTGAACGGGGTGTAGAGGATGGGACTGAGGACACATCCCTGTGGGGTGCCAGTGTTTGTCGTGATGCTGTACTGATTGACCATGAAAATGATCACATTAGTAAAGAGAAGTCTTAACAAACTAAGCTACTATCTTCCTTACATTTTTATTCTCTTCTCTTGACATAAACTTCTGAAAATGAATATGCTCTAATCTGCGCTTTGATAAGGACTGTATGAGGAAATACTATTGATACTAAATAATTCATTAAAACCTGATTATCTTCAGGCAAGTTCTGCAGATACAGTAAACACAAACTCATGGCTTTGTAACTAAACAAGCATTAATTTTGCCATTGGATTTTAGAAGTTGTCAGTAACTATTAATGTTTTTTCTTAAATATTTCATATTTCATATTTGGAAAGTTTTCACCATATATGCAGACATGGAATACTGCTCTGTGTGGCACTGTGCAGGTTAACTAATTAGATGTGTTCAGACACAATGCAAAGCACATTTTTGATGCAGCCCAATAGCATACAAAATCAATAGAGAAAGTGGGTGTAAATAAGGCATTTACAAATAACTAGCAAATAAACAGTGATTAAAACAGGAGAAAGTGTAAAGTGAAATAACTGGAATCCCAGTGTGAGTGCTCAGATCATATTTCGGGGAAAACCTTACCTACTTCCAAGGTGCTTGGACCAGGAAAAAAAGTCATAAAATACATACAAAGGCATTTTTATCCTACAAGTGTTGCAGGCATATTGATATGTTTTGACTCTTTGAACCTTGTGTTTTTTTCCTAAACTTTTATTTAGTCAGGCTGGGTTCACTGAGAGGTCACCTCACTTTTGCAGGAACACTCTGATCACTGATCTGGATGCTGCCCAATGTAACCATAGTTTGACCTGCTGCTCCCACAACAATCAGAGCCTTGTTGAAAGTAGTAGGGGTAAGTGCTGCATTTTCACTTGTCCTATCCAGATTTGTTTGACATCAGAAAGTAACTATCCCACAAAAGAAAAGACTCTACATGTTGTTTGTGCTGCATTTGAAGGAGGTTGGGGTGGATGAATGGGTCAAAAAACACAGAATCTTCCCACAGAAGACTGGTGAGATTCATAGCAGTGTTTTTGTCCATGAATATTACCTGGTGGGATCCCCCACATTGCCCACTTGATGAGATAATTATAGTTTGGGGTTGGAAGGAATTGAGTGTGTTCAGCCTTTGTTGGTGTGTTGTTGCTCCCATGTGTGTCTTTGTGTTTGAATAAAAAGAGTGGCTCAAAAGGCAAGCTGATTTCCAGCTCCTTCTTCTCTACAGTTAACGTTACAATATTTATTATTATAACATGAAGAGGAAGCAGATTTTAACCCAAACTGCAATATTTTTCTAAACCTCACAAAGTAGTGCGTGCATAATCCAAATTAACTCCTGATGGTTCAACAATCGTAACTCAGTGTTTATGACTGTTTCCATTTCACCTGCCACTGTAGGAATGCTGGTTAATGAGAAGGTCCACTGTAGGATATCAATCCCGGTTCTGCTTTTGTTTTCACTGTCCTCTTCCTGCTCTGGAGACAAGCTGTGGGAGCTAAATTTTGGCACCACTCAGGAGGTAGCACTGTATCATCTTCTGGATTTGATTTGGTTTGATTTGATTTGATTTATTCTTTCAAGCATATAAAACAGTTGATATAACAACACCCATTTTTACACACAATCCAATATCAATTTGCTTATACCTAATACATGCTTGAATGGAGTAGGAAGAAGTCAGACTTATCCAGTCCTACCCCATAACATCATCTTACATCATTGGTTTGCAAGCAATAAATGATTCACTTCTGCACACACACACATTATACTAAAAAAGAATATAACAGTGTTAACATTCTTAAATCACACAA